TATACCTGTTGTCTACTTTTAGCTTTCATTGAACACAGATGGGAATTCACAATTTTTCATTTTCCATTCATAATGGCAAGGAGAAAAAACGGACAGAAGGCATTAACTATTATTAGATGAAGAAGGTGAATGCAAAATGACAGGCAGTCATATTCCAGACTAATGATGATAAAATTAACTGCAAAAATCTCAGACTATGAGTTTTTGGATGAGGAAATACTAGAAGGCTTTTCTCCCACCCAAGAATCGACAAGAAAAAGAAAAAAAAGACAAACAAGAAATGTACTCTCACTGGGAGAGCCATCAGCAGGAAGGACAGTATTTTACAGTAAGAACCAGGATCATTCTATTTTCTAAAAGGAGGTGTGACTGTTTTATTTCATCTTTTACAATGTTTATGCATCAAAATTTACTTGACTTGGTTGCAAATGGACAAAGGGTGAAGGCAGATGTGTATACAAGCTGACTGGAAGGAAAATGAAATAAAAATATTCACTGAATTTATCATTCTAATTAAGTTTATAATCTAAAAATAAAAATGTTTTGCAATTATGGAGCAAGGATGACAAATCCTTCTTCAACACAAAATTGTAAGCAATAGAAGGTTTCAAAAATTCTTCAAGTATTGTATTTTGATGATGCAAATGCGAGACGGGTTTGAACTTCAAGGGTCCCTTATAAGTGGATTTTTTTCAACCAAATGCAGATCCATCCCAAGTATATGGAAGGCTGATTTTTCCTATTCTCAAGTTCCACAGGCCTGGCTGCGGGACTGGAGTATGCAAGATTTGCCAAGGAGGTGGGTGGGTCCTGGAACCAATCCCCCACATTTAGCATACTGAAGGATGACTATATGTACATCAAAATCAGGAAAACACAGAATATAAATTTCGGTTTGCTATTGTTAAATTCACATTAAAATTCCTAATAAAGTTGTTTTGCACTATCTCCCTTTATTCTTATTTCTAAAAATTATTTGTAAAAGACTAAAATATTAAAAAAAACACTATTTCCCCTGAGCATATGAGAGTTAAAGCATTTGTACCAACCTGGGCCCATTTGCGCTTCTAAATTCTCATTAGTGGAAGGGCTTATATGCTGTCATAATTTTGGTTCCCTAAGTTCCAAATCTCTACTTCTTTCCACGTGACCCCCTCATATATTTTTATAGGCCATTTAGTTCTTAACTATTTCTGGCTCAATATAGTTAAAGTAATGGTGAAGCTTCAGTTCTGACTCTCACTAAATCACTGGCTCTATAAGCCAGGATCTGACATTTAACTTAATTTTAACTCATCTATAAAGAGATGCCTTTTTAAAAGACTGTCTTAAGACACTGAGGCACAGAGAGGCTAAGTGACTTGCTTTGATCCTCTGACCATCCTGTGTTTTTTCCACATCATACTGTCCATGATCAAATGAGACAGATGAAAGTGGTCTATGAACTCAGTTATACAAATGTACAGCATTAAGTTAAAAAAATTGTGTAAAAACCAACTTTCTTGATTCTGCTTCTAATAAAAGAGTAAAACATCTTCAGTGTTTATATAAATAATCCTGTCATCTACAACTTCTAATCCCAATGTTTTAAGGAAATAACATTAAGTCCTGCCAGTTCTTCTTTTCAAAGCAGCACTCCGGGACTGGACTGGCATCAGGAACTGGTTTCATGGAAGACAATTTTTCCACTGAGAGGGAGGATGTGATAATTTCAGGATGATTCAAGTGCATTACATTTATTGGGCACTTTATTTCTATTATTACTACATTGTAATCTATAATGAAATAATTATACAACTCACCATAATGTAGACTCAGTGGAAGCTTTGAGCTTGTTTTCCTAAAACTAGACAGTCCCATCTGGGGGTAATGGGAGACAATGACAGATCATCTGGCATTAGATTCTCATAAGGAGTGTGCAACCTAGATCACTCACATGTGCAGTTCACACCAGGGTTTACGCTCCTATGAGAATCAAATGCCAACAGGAGACAGAGCTCAGGTGGTAATGCAAGCCATGGGGAGTGGCTGTAAATACAGATGAAACTTTGCTGGCTGGCCCACAGCTCACATCCTGCTGTGCAGCCTGGTTCTGTGGCCCAGGGGTTGGAGACCCTTGCCTTAAAGTGCAACAGTGAGTACCTTGTCCAAATGCTGCTTTCTGAAAAGCACGTGGGTGCACTATACATTTTAAGAGAGGTTCCTTAGCAGTTACTCCCCACTCTTCCCACTTTCTATAAGATCGCTTTCATTTCTCCACTCCAAGCCATGGAAACTACTTTTAAGTTGTCTTCATCCTTAATACCCTTTCCTACAGAACTGCAATCAATTTACCTTCTGAATACACACCCTGGTGACTTAGAATTTACTCCTACATTGTTAGCATTTTGCTAGAGTTGTATTCTGTGATTACCTACTTTTAATATTAAAAAAATGTTTTGTTACCCCAATTAGATGTGAGGTCAATGGGCATAAGAAAACTTCAATGATCTCTTACATACCGTGGATGCTCATTAGAAACTGTTTCCCAACTATATGTTACAGCTAGATTTTTTTTTTTTTTTTTTTTTTTTTGAGACAGAATCTTGCTCTATCGCCCAGGATGGAGTGCAGTGGCCCGATCTCGGCTCACTGCAAGCCCCGCCTCCCAGGTTCACATCATTCTCCTGCCTCAGCCTCCCTAGTAGCTGGGGCTACAGGCGCCCGCTACCACGCCTGGCTAATTTTTAAAATAGAGACGGGGTTTTACTGTGTTAGCCAGATGATCTTGATCTCCTGACCTTGTGATCTGCCCGCCTCGGCCTCCCAAAGTGCTGGCATTGCAGGTGTGAGCCACTGCACCCGGCCTGCTAGTTTTTTTTTCCTACAACAGCTTGGAGGTCTTTTAATGAATGTATTACCTATGGTTAAAAAAAATTTTTTTTTAAGTACTGGCTGGGCGAGGTGGCTCACACCTGTAATCCCAGCACTTTGGGAGGCCAAGGTGGGCAGATTGCTCGAGTCTAGTAGTTGGAGACCAGCCTGGGCAACGCGGCAAAACCTGGTCTCTACTAAAAATACGAAAAATTAGTTGGGTGTAGTGGCGCACACCTGTAGTCCCAGCTAGTATGGTGGTGATGTGGGGAGAGGGGGTTGAATCAGGAGGATCACTTGAGCCAGGAAGGTGGAGGCTGCTGGGAGCACTGATTGTGCCACTGCACTCCACCCTGGGCGACAGAGAGAGACCGTGTCTCACCTGTCTCAAAACAAAAACAAAACCCAGGTACTTAAAGATACGCTTACATGATTGGGAAAGGTCTTAAAGGTCGTCTGGTTTAAACTGATCTCTTCCGAAGCTGTAAACTTAATGACTTAATCCCTTTAACTTTGTGAAATTTCGTATCACCTGGAGATTTCTGTCACGCTAAAAGATACTTCCAAACAGGTGTCTGACATCCTAGCAATCAAGTCATATTTAAAGATCAGGAGGAAAACAATGTTAACAGCTTTTTAAGTGAGCCAGGTTACTCAAAAACGTGAATCAATTCCTGACAAAACCTGAATTACCATATTAACAAGATCTAAAAGCCAGTAGCAGAAACAACAGAGAGCAAGAATAAACTTCTCTAGATGCCCATTCATCTCCAAATCTTTATTGATAGCTAATCTTTCTGCAGAGCTGAAGTCGATTCCTTTAAAGACCCTTACTATTCCGGTCCTCGCCCCACTTCCCACTCAGAGGGGCAGGTCTTAACACCATCTCATTTGCTACATAGTAGTATTCAGTAGGCTTTTAAAATTTTATGAAAAGCACTGAAATAGAAAAATTTAAAGCTCTATGTATTCAGAAATTTACAGTACTTCAAACAAAACCGAAAAAAACTTAGATATCCCTTCATCATCCTTAAAGATGACCTCTCCGCTCCCTCTCCAACAATTTCCCCATCAACGTTGCCAAGACATTTATCCATTGTATGAAGGACCTACTTTTACGTTTACTGGTTACCTACTGTTTCCATGACACTGCGCTACGAGCTAGGGCAAATATACAAAAAGGCCTAAAATAAGCATCATATTTCTCTCCGAATTCCCAACACCCGGCACTGCAGTAAATATTTAATAGGTTACTTTAAGGGATAAACCGTTTGCTATTAAAACCTATGAGGTGGGGGCTGGAGAAGGGAACGGCATTTGATGGGGAGACGAGGTAAGAAGAACGAGGTATTAATATCCGACATCAAAATGGGCTTCTAGGTCTCAACGTCTCAGACCTCACCACCAAAGCCAGTACCAAATTACACCCGTGGCACAATTTTCGGCTCAATACTGTTCTCGGTTTACCCTTACTAGTGCAGCTAAAGTTAACTATCAACGGCACATTGCAAAAATCATCTAGGCAGGAAAATCTGTCCAAATGCGCACGAACATTTCGACATTGTCACAGGAACATTTACAATCCAAAACAGGGAGAGTCTTGGCGTCTCTATCGTGAGCACAAAGGCCCGAGAAAGCATCCTCATCGGCCCCCCAAAACGCACGTAAGAAATTCCTTGACTAAGCTCTTTCACTCCTCGACCCTCTCCGAATTTTCTTCCTCAATCCCCCTTCCTACGCAGGTCTTCGACTCCCAGCGTGTGGGCCTCTTCAAACCTTCTCACCCTCATAAAGATTAAGGGAGACATTTCCCACTTATTCTTCTGGTTTCTCCCCTGGGCTCTCCCGCTGCCGGCCACCTCAGGCGCGTCCTCCTCCAACCACCCTTCCTGGCCTACTCCAGCCTTTAGTAGGCCTCAACCCTCTGCCACTCCGCCATTGTTATTTACATCGTCATCTGGGGAGGCCGAACGCTTCACCCCATGCGGGTGAGACTCTCTGGCAGCACTCATCCTTGCAGGGATCCCGACGAAAAATGCCGAACCCTCTAGCCGCTCTCCCCAGCCGCAACACCAGCAGCCTGCAATCCACCACCGGCCCAAGCAGCGCCACTCCAGAACGCAGAGCCCCTCCGGGCCTTCTCTGCGACAGTCGTCACCGTTGCGGCCCCTCGCCGCCCCGGGGCACTTTGGGAATTGTAGTTTTTTGGGTCACCGCATACTGACCCGAACAACAAAGATGTGTCGGTGACTAAAACTACAATTCCCAGGAAGCCCGGAAGCTCAATTCGCGCTGTGTGGCGGGAGTGCCCTCGGAGGCCCCGCCTTTGGCTGGTGGAGGGAGCGTTCCCGCGGATGAGTATGGCGGTGAGCGTTGACTGAGAGCTTGGTCGCCACAGGAGGTGGCTTAGAGGGCTTTTTGCCTTTCACCGTGCGACGCTGCCCTACTGGCAAATGTATTATCGTAACTAGGCACCTGTGTTTAAATGTAATATTTCAGGCTGACTGAATCCTCACGAATACGCTCCACCCAGGACAAAAACCTTAAAAAATGGCTTCTACCATTTCCACCCTGGTGTTCTCTATTGCGCGTAGGGGATTTCTAGGTGGCCGGTGATGCTGCTTTCTAAAGGTTTTGATGAATATTTCGCTATTTTCCCATACAGAAATGAGTTCAGTATGTTGTTAAATGGCTAACTGGCGGTTATTGAAAACGGGGATTCAGCTGAGGGAAATCTGTTAAGTTTTCATATGGCTTTGTGTGAGGTGGGAGTGCTCCTCACTGACCTCGCTGCAGATGTCTGGGCACCGTACGGTAGGGGCCTTCACCAAGCAAAGTCCATCCCTGCCACGTAAGCCCCCCCACTTTTTTTAAAGTAATTATTGAGATGAAATTCACACATAAAAACCATCTTAAAGTGTACAGTCCAGTGGCACTTAGTACATTCACAATCGTGTGCGGCTGTCACCTCTGATTCCAAGACGTTTCACCACTCCAAAAGGAACCCCAGTGCCCGTTAGCAGTCCCTCCCCATTTCTCACCCTCTCCAGATTCAAGTGATCACGCCTCTACTCAAAAAGCCTTGCATTTAAAAGTATTTATTGTTAAGATACTGGAGACTATCTCCTACTTTATCAAGGTGTCTGAATCTGTAACTAGGCCTGAACTTAACTTTCTGTCAGAACCCTTGTCCTTAGTAATTCTGAAGCTTTCTCACCTTGAATACAAACGTGATTTTTTTTTTTTTTAAGCAAAAACTAGGCCGGGGGCGGTGGCTCAGGCCTGTAATCCCAGCATTTTGGGAGGCTGAGGCGGGTGGATCACGAGGTCAGGAGTTCGAGACCAGCCTGACCAACATGGTGAAACCACGTCTCTACTAAAAATACAAAAATTAGCCTGGCGTGGTGGCGCTTGCCTGTAATCCCAGCTACTGGGGTGCTGAGGCAGGAGAATCGCTTGAACCCGCGAGGCGGAGGTTTCAGCGAGCTGAGATGGCATCACTGCACTCCAGCCTAGGTGACAGAGCAAGACTCGATCTCTAAATAAATAAATAAATAAATAGTTAAGTGATATGGATAATACATATCTAGTGTTTCGGAACTGACAGTAGTCTGTGAAACAATGCTTAGCCATTAGCTTTTGAACTCAGCAATTGCTCTAGTTTGACTGCCTGTGTACCAATATTACTTACCCAGATTTCAGATCGTCACTGAACCATTCATAGAACTGTGACCAGTGGAAGGTAGTTTTAAAATTTATGCAGTCATAGATTCAAATTCTCCCTTATTTTGGAAGCAGAAAAATAGCATAATAATAAGCAATATATTAGAAGTATAAGTAATATAATAGAAAAAGAGATGTCAGGGTCATATTTTATAAGTATAACCAAACAAAGAACATCTTAATCTATTAGTTCTGTGGTAAGAATAAATTGTAAATAAAGGAGGAGGAGAGTAAACCCAAGAGGAAAAAAAAAAAAAAAGCATTGTTTTAGGAAGTGGTTGATTGCTTTTTGCTAGAATTAAAATATTTTCATTACTAACTCCATGATTCTACTTAGGTTCTACTAATTACAATGAAATTACATTTAAGTTACAGAGTTTTGCAGTTTCGACTACAGTTCACCTCTAATGGATTTGACAAATGGTGATTTAGAACTCTTAGCTATATTACCAAAACAAATAAGATGGCTGAATAGGTACTTTAGACTGCTAAAAGAATTCTGAAATAAGAAAGGACTATCAATAAGAATAGTAGTTACTATATAATTTTAATTTTACTAGTTGGTGAAAGTCCAGAAAACTTTAATGAGCTAGCAACATGTCTTTTATTTCTTCACCAGAATTGTTGGCACCTGGATGGTAAATCTTCAAGTTACTATGAAAGAAGATCACAAACCAAAAAGTAACATAGGAAATACTAAAGACTGGAACATTTTATCAGATTTTACTCGGTTTCATATACAGAAAGCTATAGGTAAGGATGAAATTATACAGCGTTAATAGAATGCATATATGCCACAGAAACTCAGTAATGCTCCTCTTGTGTTGTAAAAACAAAGATACACTATCACGAGTGAAACAATGAAATACCTTCTTCAGGATTGGGACTGTTGCATCTCCATTTTGTTTCTGGCACAATGCCTGCTACAGGATAGCTAATAAATGTTTCTGAATTCATATAGGAAGGATGCAATTATGTAGTACCAGAATGGTATCTTATATGAGACCCAGAAATTCAGCAATGTTCTTTCTTGGGTAGTACAGGCAAGGAGAGGAGGCCCTGTCACTGAGAACTTTCCATTTTGTTAAAATTTTCCCAACATTTAGCATGTAGTAGGCAGTCACAGATGTTTGTCGAGTACATTCTCTCAACCAGGGATAGTCATAATTGAGCATAGTTAAACCTGAAGAGGAAATAAAGGGTTGGAAGATTATACTGTGTACAAAAAATCTGCTATTTCTCTTGAAACTAAAAAAAAAAAAAAATTCCTAGGGCCATAATTACAGTTACCATTTATTAAATACCCACCATGTACCATATACTTTGCTAGGGGCTTTTTATAGGTGATTTTTAGAATTGACCTCAAAGTTTCACAATAATTTGCAAGAAGTAGGTAATTTTATAGGTAATTAGGCTTAAGAAAAGTTAAATACTTGCTTAAAGTAATGTAGCTAGTGAGTGATTCAGTCCTTAAGTCTAATTCCAAAAACCAGTGCACTTTCCACTGTGCCAATATAACCCAACATTAAATAAGATGTTTCATATATGGCAGGAAGTGTGCCAAGTTTGAGGAAAACCAGAGTAAATAATGCATAATCCTTTACTGCAAGGAGTTTACAGCTTGGCAGGAGAATGATTAAGTGGCATCAGTAAATTACAAATAAAATGCTGTGGGAACAGCTCATTTTGGCTGAGGGAAATGAGAAAATTATTTCCCAAAAATTTTTGAGCTAGGCCTTGAAAAACAGTTTGGGCAGGATGGGGCATGTATTCAGTGATGGTTAGTGTCCAGTGTGCTGAAACCTGACAAGCCTAAAAGTATTGTATTCTGAGACAAAATTCTATAGGCTGGTCAAGCCAGGCTGTGAAAAGCCTTGAGTTTGAATCTCTCACTATATGTGTTCAGATTAAGATAATCTCTTTCATAGATCTGTGTGACCTATTTTCTAATACTTCTCCATTTAAATTCATTTTATGCATTCTAGCCAGATTCGACCTCTGAAAATGGAATGTAGAGATTCTCCTGCTCAAAAACTTCTTGGAGCTCCCCATTTTATACAGAATTAAGTTGATAGAATTAAGCCTATAATTAAAACAAGAATTCAGTTCTTGAGGAAGAATAAAGTCGATATTCTGATCTCAATAGTCCATTCCAGTCTTATTTGTCTTATTTTCTACTATTATCTTTTACTTATCTTGTTTAGCCTGCCACAACAAAAATATGTGCTAGAATAAAGGTATTGAACAAAGATACTAGGCTTGCTGACTGTTCTAGACTCTCAGCTGCTTTTGGGTAGGATCTAAGCTTAGCACCATGACATATGTAAACTATCACTCAGTAGATATTTGTTGTTTTAATATATGAATGGGTGAGATTAGAGAGGAGCAGGTTTATGTGGTAGGATGAGTTTGATTTTAGATATGTTAAAGTATTGGCAGGACACCAAGTGGAACTGTTAAAAGTATGGGCTTCAAAGTTAGGAGAGAGCAATAAACTTAGAAATCACCCATCTAGAGGTGATGAGTCAACAAGGAGAGTAATTGAGCTTGCCTAGTGAGTGCCTAGAAGAGAGATACTTGGAACAGAAGAAGAAGGAGAAGATTAAGGATGGAATGAGGAAGAAGAGCCTGAGGTTAGAAGGTAGACATAGAACTAGAAGAAGGAGAGGTTAGTGTCATTGAAGCAAAGGGAAAAAATGTGAAAAAAAAAAGCTGTGGTGGACTATGAGATGAAACCCATTTAGAAGCTGATTTTAAAGGTGTAATATAAATGCAACTCTAGGGTCTAACAGAATCCTGAAAACAAGGTATAAATAAATACATATTTGTGGTTGATGATGATTGATGATTGGTTAACTCCCATTCTGTCCATTGGGCAGGCAGATTTGTCAGAGTGCTACTGTGATTTAAAATGTGGCACTATAAATATTAACGTGATTATTTCACACATACCTAGGAACTTAAATGAAAGAGGAATGAAAAGGGAAATGAAAAATGTATTGCTTAAAATTGCTTCAATAAAATTGTTGTTGATGTATATCTTCTTTTTTTGTTATTATACTTTAAGTTCTGGGATACATGTGCAGAACGTGCAGGTTTGTTACATAGGTATACACGTGCCATCATCTACATTAGGTATTTCTTATAATGCTATCCCTCCCCTAGCCCCCCATCCCCAACAGGCTCTGGTGTGTGATGTTCCCCTCCCTGTGTCCATGTGTTCTCATTGTTCAACTGCTACTTATGAGTAGGAACATGTGGTGTGTGGTTTTCTATTCTTGTGATAGTTTGCTGAGACTTATGGTTTCCACCTTCATCCATGTCCCTGCAAAGGACATGAACTCATACTGCATAGTATTCCATGGTGTATATGGGCCACATTTTCTTTATCCAGTCTGTCATTGATGGGCATTTGGGTTGGTTCCAAGTCTTTGCTATTGTGAACAATGCTTCAATAAACATACATGTGCATGTGTCTTTAAAGTAGAATAATTTATAATCCTTTGGGTATATACCCAGTAATGGGATTGCTGGGTCAAATGGTATTTCTTGTTCTAGATCCTTGAGGAATCACCATACTGTCTTCCACAATGGTTGAACTAATTCACATTCTCACCAACAGTGTAAAAGTGTTCCTATTTCTCCACATTCTCTCCAGCATCTGTTGTTTCTTGACTTTTTAATGATTGCCTTTCTAACTGGCATGAAATGATTGTGGTTTTGATTTGCACTTCTCTAATGACTAGTGATGATGAGCTTTTTCTCATGTATTTGTTGGCTGCATAAATGTCTTCTTTTGAGAAGTGTCTGTTCATGTCCTTCACCCACTTTTTGATGGGGTTGTTTTTTTCCTGTAAATTTGTTTACGTTCTGTGCAGATTCTGGATATTAGCCCTTTGTCAGATGGATAGATTGCAAAAATTTTTCTCCCATTTTGTAGGTTTCCTGTTCACTCCGATGGTAGTTTCTTTTGCTGTGCAGAAGCTCTTTAGTTTAATTAGATCCCATTTGTCAATTTTGGCTTTTGTTGCCATTGTTTTTGGCGTTTTAGTCATGAAGTCTTTGCCCATGCTTATGTCCTGAATGGTATTGCCTAGGTTTTCATCTAAAGTTTTTATGGTTTTAGGTCTTATGTTTAAGTCTTTAATCTACCTTGAGTTAATTTGTGTATAAGGTGTAAGGAAGGGGTCCAGTTTCAGTTTTCTGCATATGGGTAGCCAGTTTTCCCAAAACCGTTCAGTAAATATGGAATCCTTTCCCCAACTGCTTGTTTGTGTCAGGTTTGTCAAAGATCAGATAGTTGTAGATGTGTGGTATTATTTCAGAAGCCTCTGTTCTGTTCCATTGGTCTATATATCTTTTTTGGTACCCGTACCATGTTGCTTTGGTTACTGTAGCCTTGTAGCATAGTTTGAAGCCAGGTATCTTGATGCCTCCAGCTCTGTTCTTTTTGCTTAAGATTGTTTGGGCTCTTAAAATTATATGGGCTCTTTTTTGTTTCCATATGAAACAAAGTAGTTTTTTCTTATTTGTGAAGAAAGTCAATGGTAGATTGATGGGGATAGCATTGAATCTATAAATTAACTTGGGCAGTATGGCCATTTTCACTATATTGATTCTTCCTATTCATGAGCATGGAATGTTTTTCCATTTATTTGTGTCCTCTCTTATTTCCTTGAGCAGTGGTTTGTAGTTCTCCTTGAAGAGGTCCTTCACATCACTTGTAAGTTGTATTCCTAGGTATTTTATTCTTTGTGTAGCAATTGTGGTTGGGAATTCACTCATGAATTGCCTCTCTGTCTATTATTGGTGTATAGGAATGCTTGTCATTTTTGTACATTGAGTTTGTATTCTGAGACCGTTGAAGTTACTTATCAGCTTAAGGAGATTTTGGACTGAGATGATGGGGTTTTCTAAATATACAATCACGTCGTCTGCAAACAAAGACAATTTGACTTCCTCTTTTCCTATTTGAATACCCTTTATTTCTTTCTCTTGACTGATTGCCCTGGCCAGAACTTCCAATACTATGTTGAATAGGAGTGGTGAGAGAAGGTATCCTTGTCTTGTGCCAGTTTTCAAAGAAGATGCTTCCAGTTTTTGCCCATTCAGTATGATACTGGCTGTGGGTTTGTCATAAATATCTCTTATTATTTTGACATACATTCTATCAATACCTAATTTATTGAGAGTTTTTAGTATGAAGGGGTGTTGAATTTTATTGAAGGCCTTTTCTGTATCTATTGAGATAATCATGTGGTTTTTGTCATTGGTTCTGTTTATGCAATGGATTACATTTATTGATTTGCGTGTGTCGAACCAGCCTTGCATCCCAGGGATGAATTTGACTTGATCGTGGTGGATAA